TAAGCTTGGCTCTTCCATCAGCTTACCAGCTCATGGTTAGGGAAGAAGACATTATCGCGATCTCTTAGGCTTGTGACGACATTGCCGACATTGCCAACAATTGACGCAAACACCAACACAGCAATGAGCAAGTCTGCGATCATAAACATGAACTCCTCTTCCCTTTCTGGATGGGGGATGTCTCCCACTGTGGTTAAAATCTGTGCGGAAAACCAGAAGCAGTAAAAGTACTGACGTCGCATGGAGCCAAACTCTGTGTCGGTGATATTAGGGTAAACCCAGGGATCACTTCCAAAGCCGAGGCTGCTGGACAGCGCAAAGTACAGACAGGTATTCCAGTGGATAAGCACAAAGATGTAGATCATGAGCTTGGCAATGCGGAAGGTGTTGGGGTAGGAGGTTCTTGTCTCCATGCGGTCCAAGGCCTCGTTGAGTCGTGGGATACGCAAAAGGCGGTTGATTCTGACCAGAGGAGTTTTGAAGCCGAATGCAAAATACAGGAAGTCGAAAGGAAGAATGGAAGCCAGGTCCCAGAGGAAATGTTTAGAGCGCAGGTAGCGCTTCCTCAACTGAATCAGGTCTTTGACCAGGATGCCCTGATCCAAGTAACCTGAAGAGGCAAAAACAGTGTTTAATGAAGCCCAGAATACTCATCATACAGTGATATAATTTATCAATACACAGGTTGGCTCTAACTGTTAGAAAGCATCCAAATGACTTTTCCTCATTATAGCTATAACCATAGCTACAGCTGCCACATGAATAGAAAGCAGCGAGGGAAAAAAAAGACTGTCATATTTAATATGATAAAGGGTTATGTAAAACTTGCACGTGACAAAAGTAAGTTGGAATTTGAACTCCCACTGTAAACCGACGGACTTACCAGTGTGAAGAGTGATGATCATATCAATCATATACATGAGGTCTGACACATAGTCCAGAGTAAGCCACACAGGGAGGTAGCTCAGTGCTATCATAGTGAAACAAGTCCTGAAAAACACAAGCATTGCTTCAGAAAATGTCCTATCATGCACTGTTGTTATATGCTTAGGAATGATTACCATTTGCAAACATGCCACACTGCACTACTTTACCTCAAAATGATGATTACCCAGTTGTAAACGATGGGTAGTGTCATGACCTGAATCCAGACATAATAAAACTGCTCAGCTGGATCAACAATGAACTCGTTCCAGCTGAGAGATGTTGAAGAAGTGAAAGAAGAGAAGAACAGAGTCACATAAATATTAGGATTCGAGACTTGTCATGGTCATATTATTAACCGAAGCATTGCTTGTGACAG